CGTGTTTGTATATGCAGTGATCTGGAAAGATACCTAAGAAACTAATTAATATCAATGAATAACATTGATTGCCTTTCTGGCAGTAAACTGGCCAGCTCAAGGAATAGGAGGGAAACTTTTCTTTAGCATTTTGAAAATTTTTAATACACTAACATTTGTTTAAATGAAATTGTTTTTAATGAGTTAAACAAGAAAAGACTGTGGCCACCTGGCCATGTAGCTGTGCCAGATGAAGTACATTCTTTTCAGGTTCTAAAAGAAAACGTTTTAAAATGTTGAAAGGTAATGTATCATAAACTCTTCTAAAATAGAGACTGAGTTTTCTTCAGGATTGGTGAACCCCCTGAGGCCTCCTGCTGTGCACAGTGTATTGTAAAGTTTCAGCCAGTGTTATATTGGTGACCATCTATATTTTTTCATTGAAAAGCTACTGTATGATTAAAAAAATTTTTTTGAGAAATCTTCTACCTGAATGCACGGAGTTGCTGTGAGTCGGAATCAACTTGATGGTAACTAATACCACCACCTGAATGATTTTTTAAGTCACTTCCTTGTTATTCACATGCATGCATTTTTACATAGTTGTCACAACTATATAAATTCTTTTGCATCTAATTCCCTCTTTATCCATTTTTTTTACAATATTCTTGATGATTATAAGCAGAATGCCTACATAATACTTTCTCTTTTGATGTCTTATATTTACTCTAAATAATTCCCTGGCTGTTGGACTTTTGACATTTTGCAAGAATTGGATTGGTTTGTAGAAATTCAATGTATTTCACTAAAGTAAACCATGCCTACTTCCACTGTCATGGAAGTTTCAAATCATGGAATATCTATACGATGTACTAAGTAGTTATTAAAATGAATACTTAGTAATATGAAAAGATGTCTATGATATATGCAAAAACATTGTAATATACAGTCCCATTTTTGTTTAAAGATATAAACTAAACCAAACCCACTGCACCACTGAATCAATTCTGACTCATAGCAACCCCATAGGACAGAGAAGAACTGCCCAAGGGTTTCCAAGGCTGTAAATCTTTACAGAAGCAGACTGACACATCTTTCTCCTGCATAGCAGCTGGTGGGTTGGAACTGCCAACCTTTGGGTAAGCAACGAAATTCTTTAACCTCTGTGCCAGCAGAGCTCTTTGTTTAAAGCCTTAATATTTGTAAATGTATATCTCTGTTTTTGAGTATACAGGAGAAGAAGAGATTGTGCACAGGGCCCCGGGCGTCTTACCTGTGCTGGCTTGAGCACTAAGGTGTTGCCTGCTGCCAAACAGGCTGCACTCTTCCACGCCAGCATCATCAGGGGGTAATTCCAGGGGATGATAATGGCACAGACGCTGCAGAGGAAGAAAGAGGACACCCTTAGTTTTCTCAAATTAACACAACACATACAAGTCACTCGGAGGTGCTCCTCTTGTCTTACCCAAGTGGCTCCTTCTTGGTGAAGGTCAGATTGCGATTTGGACGGGCTTGGTTAATTGGAATTGTAGAACCCTGAAGCGTAAAAAAGGTTGATACTTATTTTATTAATTTAAATTAGTTTCTCAAAGAAAGAATCCATTTCCTGTCCTCCTCTATCATTTTTCCTTAGCTGATGTGAAAAGGCAGTGTTTTTGTTCATAAGAAATATAAAACCCACTGCCATTGAGTTGAATCTGACCCGTAGAGACCCTATAGGACAGAGTAGAACTGCCCCATAGTTTCCAATGCTGTAATCTTTATGGAAGCAGACTGCCTCATCTTTCTCCTGCAGACTAGCTGGTGGGCTGGAATGGCTGAACTTTTGGTTGGCAGCTGAGCACTTAAACCACTATCACCATGTCCCCTATAAGAAATATATCCACACCAAAAAAATGAACTGCTATTTTTTTCTAGAAAGAACTATGAAACACAAGAGAAGGAACATAATTCTAATTTTGTCACCCTCCATTTCTAGTTTCTTGATATGGCAAAAAATGTTAACTGCCTGCCCAATATCCATTCTTTCCTCTGTCTTAGTAACAGAACCATTATACTGATATTGGGGGCAGCAATGTGTCCAATACTACAAGTCTCAGTCTCTCTAGCAGAGAGAGATGACCAATGCAAGACGCAGGCACAAGGCAGCAGACAGGGAATGCTCTTTAAAGTTGGATGACTCAGCCAGAAAAGAGTAGCTGTTTATTTTCCCTCTCCCCTACTTCCTCCTTCCTGCTGGGAGTATGATTGTGATGGCTGGCAATGGCTATCATGAGATCATGAGACAGTCTTGAGGATGGTGGTCATGTGATATTAAGGATGGCAGAGCAGAGAGAAAAGTAGCTTGCCTCTCACATACTAGCCCTAATTACCCGGCTTTGGACTACATGAAAGTGAGAGAAAAATAAACTTCTTATTTTGAGTTTTCTGTTATTTGTACCTAAACTTAATCCCAACTGATACATGATGGTAATTTTCAACTGAAGCTATTTATTTGCTCTGTCACATAAAATACTAATGCTATTACTAATACAAGGAGCCCTGGTGGTGCAATGGTGGTGCAATGGTTGGCCATTCGAACCCACCAACTGCTCTGCAGGAGTTTGCTTCTGTAAGGATTACAGCCGTGGAAACCTTACTGAGAAGTTCTACTCTGTCCTACAGGGTCGCTTGATGGCAGTAGGTCTAGTTTTGGTTTAATACCAGTGGCACTCTGTTTGAAACCATAGGGCCAGATGTGTTTTGGAATTCAGAATATCTTGGATTTTAAAAATATAGTGCATACATTTTATATTTATGATATGTATACCTCAGTAGGGTCTGGGGCAGCCCCCATAAATCAAACATTAATAGGTATTCAGTGAAACATATGAGTATTCACTCTAGGTGATATAAATAAACATTATAAACAGACTCATGCTGGTTCATGTCAAGTTTAGACAACAAATGAGTTTGAACCAATCAAACAAATCCATTTTCAGGTTTCAGAGCTATCTGGGTTTCATTATTAAGGGTAAGAGATGGACCTGAAGCAACATTACTAAATACATACATATGCATGATTTTGTGGCTGAACAATGACAAAAACCACATATATGTGCAAGATCTACTATTTTGCAGACTACTGTATTATGACCTAAGGAGTTGGTGGCATAGTGGCTAAGGCATTTGGCTGCTAACCTGAAGGTCAGTGGTTCAAACCCACCAGCTGCACCGTGGAAAGCAGATGGGGCAATCTACTCTGGTAAAGATTTACATCTTCAGAAACCCCATGGAGGTCACTATGAGTTGGAATTGACTTGATGGCAGTGAGTTTGGTTTTGGGCTTATATTGTGACTTAAGGAGCTCCAGTGGTGTAGTGGTTAAAGCAGTTGAATACTAACCAAAAGATTGGTGGTTTGAACCCACTAGCCACTCTGCATAAGAAGAATGAGGCAATCTGCTTATGTAAAGATTTACAGCCTTAAAAACCCAGTCGGGGTCACTAGGAATCAGAATCAACTCGAGGGCAGTGAGTTTGGTTTATATTGTGAAGTAATATACTGTGACCATTTCACAGATGAGGAAAGTAAGCTCAAAGAGGTATAGGGATTTCATACCATCAGCTGATAAGTGGCAAAGCTCAGACTTGAACCCAGGTGTTATGGATTAAACTGTGTCCTCCAAAAAGATATGTTGAAGTCCTACCCTCTGCACTGGTGAATATGACCTTGTTTAGGGACACAGTTTTTGTTTGCAGAGATTATCAGTTGAATTAACAAAGTCATGCTAGATAGAATGGATCCCAGTCCTAATCTCTTCTGAGTGGTGTCTTATCAAGAGAAGGCCACGCACAGAAACAGAGTCACACACAGGGAAAAGCACCATGTGAGGATCTATCCACAAGCCAAGGGGCACCGAGGATTGCCAGCAGACCCAGAAACTAGGACAGAGACATGGAATAGTTCTTCTCTGACCGCCGCCAGAACTAATCCACATGGCCAAGTCCCTGATTTGGACATCTAGTCTTGAGAACCATAAGAATATAAATTTCTGTTCTTTAAAGTCATCTACTTTGTGGTATTTTGTTATGGCAGCCTTAGGAAACTAACGTACCAGGTCTCCCTGATTCTATATTAATATTGGTGGCAGTAGTGTGCCCAGATAAAATACAGGCAGTCCCTGGGGGTTCCTGACTTATGACTAACTCCTACTAGCCCTTTAAAGTTTTATAAGTTTGCTCTCACTTTGAAACAAATGAACCAACTCCCACTGGCAACAAATTTTTTTTATCACAATCATCTTCACTTGCTTTTAAATCACTGAAAAGACTTTGAGACCTTTCCTGCAATAAAGTAAGGCTAAATAAGAACGCTATCACCTGTTGCGACTTACCTACAAAGCCTTAAAGACACAGTCAGGAATGGAGCTCATTTGTAACTGAGGGACTGCCTGTACTATGTCTCCTATTCTTCCTAGGAGGTAGAGATGACCCAAGGGAGATGTAAGGCCAAGGCACTGGCAGCGTGGGAATACTCTTTGAAGTCCTTTAACCTTTCTCCCTCTGCCCTCCTCCTCCTTCCTGCTGGGAATGTGGCTGTGATGGCTAGTACTGCGGTAGCTATCACGAATCTACGAGTACCATGCATTCTGCTGACTGCCACGTGCCATATCTTTACCTCTTGTATTCCCAATGCTGAGGCCAAGTGTTGTTGCTATTTATCGTCATACATGTGCTATTTATTTTTTATAGTAAAAAGGAAAATAAAATATCTATTGTATCTGTGTCTTTATAAAAAAATACTTCCTTTTACCCAGCCTGTTTCAACCACCTACATGAATTCTCTGGCCTCTATAAGCATTTAATTTGCAATCCCTACATGACCAGACTTCTTGTTAAATGTCTTGAAGACATTATAGTAAAGTACAAAGAATATTATTAACACTTAAATTCAGAAAATGTTTAGTTCAAATGCTGGCTCTATGATTTACTTGCTATGTAATCATATTTTTCATTATCCTCAGGCCTCTGCTTCTTTACCTATAATAAGAGGATAATTGCTATCCAATGACCTCACATGGTTATTATATGTATTAGATGAGAAAACCTAAGTAAGAAGTGGCTCTGACACAGTGTACAAGCTAATACATGTTTGTCCCTTTTCCTTTTGGAATGATCTATATGGGGGCAACATTTGTACTTACTTGAATTTTGTCACACCAGCCAGCAAAATATCTGAATGTTTGCACAGACATTCCAATGTGAGTCTTCAGAGCCAAGGTATAGACAGCCCCTGAATCAAGGGCTTCAATGGTTGCTAGCTCTTCTTGGTTCTCTTCCAATAGGTCTGCAAGTCTGTAAGGTCAGTGAGAGAAATGTATTCAACAAATATGAATGAGTCTCTATTACTTGTAAGGCACTATCCTAAGAGCTCAGTATTCAGAAATAAACACAATTGGACCAGGTGTCTCTGCCCTCATGAAAATTATGGTCCAGTAGGGAAGACAGACATTAAAGAAATTTCATGAATACTTTGTTTCAAGCATTACAAAGGAGACCTAGAAGATGCTGGGAGCATGCATAGCTTGCCTCACAAATGTATAAGTATAACAGTTACAGCCATGGTACCCCAAGAAGATCAATGATAGAAATCAGTGGAAATGTAGGAAGTTCCATGTATATACATGGAGATGTTAGAGTGAAACTCATGAGAACCCATGACCACTTGAGAATTTCTGATTTGTCCACTAACTGAAGAGGACAAGATAGAATTACATGGACTGTATTACAAATACCACAACAGATTTCTGTTTGGTGTGCAGTTTCTATGGGAAGACAGATGCAGGATTATATAATAACTCATGGCCATGATAAAAATTAAAATTCATCATTTGCATTTACTCCTCCATCAGTTTTCCTTCCTTTTTTCCGTTAGTGGGCTGTTCTAGAAACAGGTTCAAAATCTCTCTTCTCAATGTTTTTTCTAGGTCCTGCTCTATGAGATCTTTTGAATGAGGTCAGATATGTGGCTTTGGGTGAGTAGAAATTGAATTTATGGTTGAATTGAATTACTCTTGATATACTTAGTTATCGATTTATAAAACTCTCTCCCAGCCTTAGTATTTTGCCCTCCTCGTTCCTACTCTACCCATCAAGTAGATCTAAATTTTGTCTTTGCAAACAACAGGGGACTGGTATTCCATTTGTTGCTCCATGTCCACTCTCCACCCTGTTCTGTGACTCAGAAGGATGACCTTTATAGACTACAGCCCCAGGGCTCCCTGGCTCTCTGGCTAGGTTTGGCCAACAGGATGCACCTGCAAGAGATGAGGGAGCCAGAGGGCAAAGGATTTGGGGAATTCAACTTCCATGGCTCCCTCACTGGTGGACTGTGGTTTTGCAGCTGCTATGTTCTCTTGGGGAGCTCTGGTAGTGTAGTGCCTAAGGCACTTGTGTGCTAACCAGAAGGCTGGTGGTTCAAACCCACCAGCCACTCCTCAGAAGGAAGATGGGGCAATCTACTTCCGGAAAGATTAACAGTTTCAGAAACCCAAAGGGGGTCACTATGAGTTGGAATTGACTCCATGGCAGTGAGTTTGGTTTTGATTTTTGTCTCTTTAGACCTCGGAGTTGCAGAAGCTTCTGACTACCCACTTCTGGCCTTCCAGGGGTGCTTCATCATCCCTGGTTGAATCCCTTTGACCTTGCCCACATCTTCTGCAAGCAGTCCCTTCAGTAAACTTCTTTTTCCACTGAGACCCTGATTGATACAAGCAATAATGCAAAGACCAGGCACTGCAATGTGCAGGATTTTATATGAGAAACTATGTTATAATGGGCACTTATTAGAAGGACTTGAAGAGTTCTCAAAAGTCTTGGCGATGTTAGCCAATATTCAAAGGTAACAGACTTGTCTTTAAAGACAAAACCCCCAAAATCCCAACACACCTGTACATGAGTCGTCCTCTTTCTCTTGCATTCATTCGACCCCATTCGCCATTTTCAAAAGCATCTTTAGCTGCTGCTACTGCTTTGTCAACATCCACCAAAGAAGCATAGGACACTGTGCATATTGTCTGTTTCAAGATCAGCAAACATAGGTCACATAAGACATATACAATTAGCTTCCTGCACTGATTGTTGTATTAATAGAAAAACATACAGTATTACTTATAAAATCCAAAATTTTATGACAGAAATTTAATACATCTAGTTATACAGTGGGAGCTCTGGTAGCACAGTACCTAAGGCACTCGACTGCTAACCAGAAGGCTGGCGTTTCAAACCCACCAGCCACTCCTCGGAAGGAAGATGGGGCAATCTACTTCCGTAGTGATACTGCCTCGGAAACCCAAGGAGGGGTCGCTATGAGTCGGATCCGACTCGACGGCACATAACAACAACAACAGTTATACAGTACAGAAGAAGAAACAATTTTAACATGGACATTATGAGCCTGAAGTTTGGTATTTCTCATGTTATACTGTACTACGGAAGGACATATTTAGGAAGAGAGGCATTTTACTTCCATAAACATTTACAGCTTTGGAAATCCTATGGGGCAGTTATATTCTGTCCTATAGAGTTGCTATGAGTCAGAATCAACTCAATGGCAGTGGGTTTTTAGATCTATTTTGTTTAGGGCCTTGTTGTTGTTAGATTTTGTAGAACAGATTTTTATTCATAATGACCTATGTATAACAGAACAAAACATTATCATAGGAAAACAGAGTTTCTTACCATAAGTTTATAAGATCTGAACATTTTCTCCACAGGTATCTCTACGTGGAGGTGTGACTCTCATTTTTCTAGCTATAGCTGTTTGTTTACCTTCTTTACAAATATTTGTTTTATAAAATAGGTTCTTACAGTTAAAAGCAGCTATGCTAATATTGAGTACTTGAAAGAAATGCAAGAAGCACATTTATATTAAATGCTTGGAAGCAAGGTGATAAGGTAAAGGAGCTTTGTAAGACATCCTATTTTAAAAACGAACTAAAAATTCATGACCAGTGGCCACTGCACACAGCAAACAATTACTCACAGATCCGTCTGTTGGGTTGATAGTGTTGTAAGTCTTTCCGTCATCAGCATCTGTGAACTGTCCATTTATGAAACACTGATATGGAATATTTACTGTCATTTCATTGACTTCCTTTGAAACCTGAAAGGATTATATTAATGCGTTCAGTGTATTTCTGTGCTTATCCATTTGATACAAACAAGCACTGGAGAACCACATTCACTAAACCATGGGGTTCTAGTTCCCTCTCCAGAAGAGACGAGCGGATGTAAGATGTGGACCTCAGCATGCTCAGCTTGGCCACTGAGGGCCAGAGGGGAGCATCCGTGTGACAGGAGTGCTCCAGGCTGGTTACTGAAGATCTTAATAAAGAGCTCGGGTTTTCTTCCTTACAGAGATTAAGACAAAGCAAGACTTCCAGAAAATGAAAACACCACCATCTAGTGGCAGCATCAACAAAACACAATCATTGGTTTCATTTTTTTTAAGTGACCCCTGGCGTGCACTCCGCCTCCTGGCCACCTCGTGTGTCAGAGTAGAACTGTGCTCCATTGGGTTCTCAATGGATGATTTTTTTCAGAAGTAGATTGCCAGGGCTTTCTTCCAAGGTGCTTCTGTGTAAATTTGGACTTCCAGCCTGTTCAGTTAACAGCCAAATGCTTTAATAGTTTGCACCATCCAGGGGCATTTGAATGCTTGAAAATGCATTTGTAAATACGTTTCCTTTCACACTGGTGCCATGTTACGTTTTCTACGCTTCAGTTCCTCCCCATTTCCACTGTCTGTATCTGTTGCCTGAATTGTACTTTGTCCTGTTGGTTAGTAAGTGGGCTTAGTTTAGTCAGTTAACTTCAATGAGCCTCAGGGTTTTTGTTTGTTTGTTTGTTTGTTTTTAACAGTAAAATGGGGATACTAACACTTGCCTCATAGAGTTACTGTGAGGATTAACGGAGATAATGTTTGTGAAAGGGTATTACTGGCATATAATTTCATATCAATCCAACATTCTAAAAAGGATTAAATAATTAAAAATCATTTCATAGAGAGAAATTGATAATACTTTAAATGGAAATAAACAAAAATAATAGCAACAGGACATCTTGCTTTTTCCCACACCAAGTATTCATCTTCCATGAAATATTTTCAAATAAATGGAAGAGAACAGAACAATTATTATAGAGAAAATCAACAAAACCAAAAGTTGGTTCTTAGAAAAGCCAAAAAAATTGATAAACTTTTAGCTATACAGCTCCTTCCAAAAAAAAAAGAATATAAGGAACACTTCCGAACTCATTCCATGAGGCCAGTAATACCTTATGCCAAAAGCAGACAAAGACATCCCAGGGCAGTGTGTGTGTGTGTTGGGGGACAACTATAGACCAATTTGTATTATGAACATAGATGCAAAAATCCTCAACAAAATACTAGCAAACCAAATCTAGCAACATATAAAAAGGAAGAGCAGGAGAAAGGGGATTAAAAGACAGGAAGCCAGACAGAGGAACAGTCAGCCACAGGGACCCAGGTGGGGGGGATACGAGAGGTCT